CAGCGCATGGCAAAAAAAAGGCAAAGTATCGCTATCACGACGCATATGGCACGACACCGGTTCGACTCTTCGGGCGATATGCTACAATCGCGGCGATCAGCTCCTTCGATGTGGTTTTACTTAAGTATAATTTTTAAAATATTTCAAAACCACATTTCCTTGCACGCATAACCGCGAAAACGAACACCAGTAAACTTGGGGCGAACCGACTTTGGGGCGAACCGACTTTGGGGCGAACTGACTTTGGGGCGAACTGGTCTGGGGCGAATGTGCATTGGGGCGAACTGACTGACCACCGGTCTCTACGTTCCATGGTGTGTTTTCGATCTAATGTATTTTATGATCACGATGTATTTCTTGGTTAGTGAGGAATGTATATCTGCTGGTGATTTAAATCGAAAACACAAACCGAGCAGGTATAGACTACAACTGTACCTGTGGATGTATTTACACCACATCTTGACTAAGTGATTGACAGCACATGTTTAATTGTGTCACTGATAATTCAGTTCATTCATTATTACTCTATGTTTTCACTATCATTAGTAAATGTAGTTAATGAAGATTTTTTAAAATTCACTAACTGATGATTAATTACGTGTACATGTATACTCCACTTACTGTCGTCACTCATTGGAAACCCTCCATATATCCTACCCTTGCCTTTCCACACATACAATTTTGAAATTATTGGAGGTTCCTATATCTTAAAAAAAAACATACTGTAAAATACTATATTTTAGCTGGAATTAATTTTTGCTGGAAAGGCTTTTTGGGTGTTTTGTATGGAATTTATTTTCACGGATTTTGGACGAGTTGAATGTGAAATATAGGGGGAAAAAAGTATATTCGCTGGATTTTATTTTCCCTAAATCATTCCTTCAGCGTAAATAATTTCCAAGCTGAAATAAAGTTGTTTATAGTACCTACAATGTAACTGATCTTCAAAGACAAACAAAACCTCCACACTCAGTGTCTATACATGTAGTTCACAAATCTATTTCAATTTAAAAGCCCTGCTTGAATTCATGTTCTGCAGCAAATTTTTTCCTACTAGTTCTCATCTACAATCTTGATAGTGTACACGTATATATTGGTCAGGGGATGGTATCTCACAGATCTGCAAAGTGGGAATGTAACTACAATCTTGATAGTGTACATGTATATATTGGTCAGGGAATGGTATCTCACAGATCTGCAAAGTGGGAATGTAACATGAACAGGTATAATTGTGCTCTGTGTTTTGTGCATTTGTAAGTGTTGAACTGCACAAGCAAGGCAAGGTGACAACTTTTTGATAAAATTAGTGTCAATCAGTTTAATCAAAGACTATAGAGAAGATAGTCTTTGGTTTAATTCAGTTTATTCAGAGTAGTTGTGAATGGTTCTCAGTGTTGACATGGCACACATATTTGTATTAGATTTCTAATCCAGTTAATCCATTTCAGATCACAAGTTCTCTGCACAGCTTTTACAAGTACTCCTGATACATGTACCAACATAGATGTAAGTCCTCATTAATTAATTGCTTGATTTTATGAACTATTTTCTCATCAACTGAAATAACTGATTTTTGTTGTTGTTTTTTTAATAAATAATAACAATAATAATAGTGTTTATTTCAGTAGATACATTAGATAAGTCATACACCTCTTTTTATCAGTGTCGAGCAATTAAGCAAAAAATATTACCGGTATTGTTGAAATTCTTCTAATTTTGTCCATGCAGTATAAGTGGTTACAACAATTTGTCTGCTGAAAGATGAATTGAAAGACAATCATGCTTTGAATGCCCAATAGTTCTTAGTGCTTATTAAGAAAGGAATCACTTTCTATTGGTTTGGTGATTTATTTTTTATTTTATTGCTATCTACAGACATCAAAACCAGTCTGGTTTGAAAATCAAACACAATGGTATCCAGTAGCCAGACTCAACTGTCTGGTTCTGCAAATGAACAAAATAACAGTAATGTCAAAGTAGTTGTGAGAATCCGTCCAGAAAACAATCAAGAACTAGAAGGCAATTCCAGGACAGTCGTCAAAGTTCTTGATGAACATGTTCTCGTCTTTGATCCCAAGGAGGAAGCCACCGACAGCTTCTTCCATGGCAAGCGTATTAGAAATATACTTCAGAAGAAAAATAAGGACATGAGATTTGCCTTTGATAGAGTTTTTGATGCTTCATCAACTCAGCAAGAGGTGTATGAGAATACAACTAAAGAAATTATTGATGGAGTGCTTAATGGATATAACTGCTCAGGTAAATTGTGTGTAATATACTGCGTACTATTGGAAAACCATTTATTTTCATTGTTTTGATCATATTCACTGTGTTTTAACCTTTTCACCACCAGACATTGTTGCCTAAATTTTTCTGCACTTTTTTTTATATATTCTTCAATATTTTCGGAAATAAACCCTAATTTTGGAGCCAACAGACAAAATTTTATTCCTTTTTCAGTTCTCACTAAAAAAATTCTAATATTTTTTTTGGCCCAATCTTCTGAAAGAAAGTGCAAACTTTAAACGACACTATTTTGTGTTGTGAATTTGTGATGACTAGAGGGAAATAGTGGTGAAAAGGTTTACCTAAAATTGCATACGCTACTAATACCCCGGTACTGCAAATACAGTACTTGGTTTCAATTGAAGAAATCCGTCAGGAGTTTACACACATTGTGTGTGCAACACCTTCATACTTTAGGAAATAACACCGAATACATGGTATGTTGGCAGCTACATGTACCATGAGTTTACAATTCTTTATATGTTGCTTGGTGGGACTGTTTCGAATGACAGAAAATAAAACCCAGTTAGCTTTTAAAGGTAGTATGCTAGATGAGTATTTTTTTTACTCCATGCAAAAATTATTCACTCGAGTATTTTGTGATTCTCTTGCAGTGTTTGCTTATGGGGCTACTGGTGCTGGGAAAACTTTCACCATGCTAGGGAGTCCAGAGTCTCCTGGTGTAATGTTCAATACCATGGTGGAGCTGTATAAACGAATTGATAGCATCAAAGAAGAGAAAACATGTAATATTGCTATATCATATCTAGAAGTAAGTAACTTTTAAGACTAAGCTGATCATTGTGAACATCAATTAAAATTAGTTTGCTCATCCATGTGCTTGTCCCAAGTGTGTAAAAACAATTGACCTGAACGCACTGAGTTGATGGCAATGACCAATTTACAAGAACCATTTGTTAATTCACACCCTAGTCTCTGTAAGGTCTATGTAAAATAATAGCAGGGCCCTTTTTTGGTTAAAACAACTTTAAACAGCAATACAGTAATTCCATTAGCCAAATTTATTTTTAGGCCACTAGGCCACATGTATATAAGTTTAGTCTTCGGTCAACGGGGTAGCCCTGTAATATACCATATTTATTTGGGTAAGCGCCCAGGGTCCTGAACACGGAAAATTGCCAAAAAGCAGGGGTGGGCGTATGCCTGCAAAATCTCCTGCAAAAAAAATATAAATCTGTGAAAATTGATAACACGCAGATCGAACTGCTGCAGGGAATATAGGTAACAGCAAATGAAGACATGCAACGGAAATAAATGAACAATATGCAACATTAGAATAATTTATTGCTTATAATGTGACAAATAATGGTTGCGTTAACATTAAATTCACCTTTCAATGCCCCTAATATTAGAGAAATACCCTTATTTTAGCCAATTTATAAACATACACAAAATAATTCCTATGTACTTTTCGTGTACTTTTTATGTACAAATGCTAATCAATCCCTGAGCTTACAAAAATGTAGCCTTATTATGGCTCATATATGTACATTAGGATATTGTTTGTGTTATATACTATGTAGAAAATGCAGCTGATTTGCATACTTTCTCTGAATGATTAGATGCCTCTGCATGCATGCATGTTTGTTTTGTTTTAGGTTTACAATGAAAACATTCGTGATTTGTTGAATCCTGGGATGCCCCTTGCCGTAAGGGAAGATTCAACAAAGGGAGTGGTGGTGTCTGGGCTGTCTTTACATCAACCCAGCTCTGCCGAGGATTTATTGCACATGTTAGAATATGGTAATCAAAATAGAACACAACATCCTACCGATGCTAATGCTCAGTCATCAAGATCACACGCTGTCTTTCAGGTATGCATGGTTATCAATACTACCGTACCAATTGGTGTGTTGGCTTCATCAGACATGTCAGTCATTTTTTGTATCATGCTTCAGTGATGTGTTTTCCTGACACAAGAGAATACACAGTAGCAGTTGCATAATCAGGATTTTGTCATGCATGCCTTGTTTTGTTTGAACGAATAGTGTGTATAAATGAAAGTCATTTAGTGTTGTTAAATGCTAGTTGTTTGATACTTTTCTGTCGGAGACTTGTGTTGTGTAAAACAAATAGCTGGGTACAACCCTTAGCAGTCAAAGCTAAACAAAAATATACCAGTAAAGTACGCTGCGATTCTAACACATAGAGATAAATCCAAGGTGTCCACATCATCGGGGATTTTTTTTTTCTTCAGATGATATAAAAAGTATGACCACATTTGTTCTATTAGTAGCATGTGTGTTCATTACATACATGTAATTGACAGGTGTTCATGTAATAAATGTATTTCCTGTTTTACTGTATGTGCACTTCTGTTTCTAATAGAGCAAATACATCACATGCATGTTGATGTCGTACAAGTATTTATAATTATTAGCAGTACACAATGTAAACAATTATGATATACAAGACTCTTGAGATCAATGTATGTAAACCGAACTGAAATAAATGTAATAGCAAACTGCATTGTTATTCTTATGTAGTTTAATTGTGAGTTACAGCCATCATTAGCGGGATGTATGCAATATTTACTCTAATAGTAGCTAATGTACTTGTGTAAATAGATAGGTCTACGGTGAAACTAAGCAATGTTTTTATACTCCAGTAAACAATGCAGTGATTGATTTATGTTCACTTCTATTGGAGAGTCGCTTGTAATAGAGTCCCATTGTTTATCTATTAAACACATTTAGGTGTTTGTGAGACAGAAAGCCCGGACAGCTGGGCTGAGTGCCGATGTGAAAGTAGCCAAGATGTCGCTGATTGACTTAGCTGGTTCAGAGAGAGCAACTGTTACCACAAACCGTGGTGCAAGGTTCAGAGAAGGCGCCAATATCAACAAGTCGCTGCTCGCTCTGGGAAATTGCATCAATGCGTTGGCTAACCCAAAGGTAATTGGTCATTTATATATACATGTAATTGGTGCTGCAGTGAAGTATCACACTGGATCTCACAACACTGTCCTCTTGAGGTGAAATATTGCTCACTTTTGTTTTTATGTTTTAGAATAAAGGACAGCATATACCGTATAGGGACAGTAAACTGACAAGATTGTTGAAGGACTCTCTTGGTGGAAACTGTAGAACTGTCATGATAGCTGCAGTCAGGTAATCAAATTAGATATACTTTGTACTTATGGTGTGTTATACAATTTAGTTTTTATTCTAATGTTAATATGTGCTGATTGTTCTACCACACAAGTAAATAGTCAAAACAAATTTAAATGCAGTGTGTGCTGAAGGACAGTTTTCTACTAACATATCTGTTTAATATCCAAATAAGCACTTTATTACACTGAATGTGATAAAAAGCTGTTACTCTGAAGGAACTTGCATATCTTGTTTAAAATCGAAGATATCCTAATTTTATGTTTTGATTATGTATGCAACAAACAACATCAGCTGCTTTCTTTTATTTCAGTCCGTCTCATTTAACTTTTGATGACACATATAACACTTTGAAGTATGCAGACAGAGCTAAGAATATTCGCTCTAATGTAAGTACATTACTGACATAATTTCACTGAGGTGATATAGTGCAACACTGTTATCATGTTCGTCGGTGCGTGTAAAAGGTGATTGGAAAAAATTTTGAAAAAAAATCGACTCATAAATAGAGAAGGGTTGATCTTGTTACTTCTATCAGTTGTCGGCAGTGCAGGAATTCTCAGTTCCTTGTCAATCTAATGACATGAGCAGCTCATGATATTATTGTCAGAATTAGTTAGATTAGTATGACATATGTGAAACTTTTTTGAAATTAGCACACTTGTTTACTAATTCGCTGGCAACTTGTGATTAAGCCAAATAGCCAACCAACAGTAACAAGTTTACATACCTATGTTTGGTAATGACAGAAAAGGTAATGTTCAAATTTTATAGGTAATACGTTTAGTCAGCAAATTAGTTTACTAATTACTAATTTGCTGCTCCAGTCCTTTTTGAGACTTGCTGTGAGACCACTCTTTTCCTTTTTAAAGATTTTATTTTGTACTGGATTGTTACTGTAGTATTTATATTCATTTTTGTTTTGTTTCAGTTGAAGAGCAATGTTGTTAGTGTTGATTTTCATGTGACTAAGTATGTGAAAATTGTTCAAGAGTTGAGAACTGAGGTGAGTGTATAATATTATTGTAATCTAGCTGGTGATAAATAGGAAATTGAATGTGTGCTCAATCACTTCTTAATAGTTGTCATTAACAACAGTGTTTGTAAGTGCTGCCCTTTCCTCCATATCTGCTAAATTTTCACTTCAACCGGAAACAAATTTGAACTGACATATCCGGTAGTTGGCTTACAATTACTAGTTGGGTTTCCATCAAAACACAATATTTAACGATGTCAACAGCCATATTTTTCACGTGACATTACTCGTGTTAGACACTTCAACATTTCGCATATGGCATCATGAGATTAACATCCATTGGATGAGGTTTTGATGAAAAGTACAATAAAGTAATGCATTGTGAAAACATATAAAAAAATAACTAACACTAACAATACAGGGAAAAAATAAATTGAGCAAGAAGCTCAAATTTCTAAACATAGAAAAAAATGGTTAATTTAGGCTGGTTTAATTGTTTCACTTTTAATTGAATTTTCTTGTATATTAAAACAGTTATAGATGTGTTTCTATTTTAAACTCTTTATACACCCTTCATGTTTAGAAGTTCAGAATTTTTAAAAACCAATAAATTGTGAAAAACTACAGGATAAATAATAAATTTGTTGATGAGAAGTGAAATTTTAGATTTTTCATGTTAACATCATTGTTTTCTCAGATTACGGAATTGAAAGTGAAGCTAAAATCCTATGAAGAAGGCAATGTACAAGCCAGGAAAGGAAACAACAGCAAGGAAGATGAAGGCATAGTTAAAATGCAAGATCTTCTGATGAGTTTATTCATTGAAAGATCCAGCATCAGGCGAGAGTTGATGGAGCTGGAATCCTGTGATCGAGACTTGACAGTCAAAATAGCTAGAAAGGAAAGGCATAAAGAAAGACTTCACCTGGTGAACCATGAACAATGTGTGAGTTATTTGTAATAACCTTTCTGAAATACAATATCCAGTTTATGTTTTAAAATCTGTGCACAAGTGAAAAGCATTCTTCTTT